GGGGTGACGCAAATAACTGCTGCTGCTGCAACGGTACCATGGACGGTGGCATCTGCGCCGCCGGCGACGAGGGCAGTTGCGCCATTGTCACCGTTGGACTCCCCGAGCCGCTCTCCCCGGGCAATGCGCCGCCATCCGAGTTGTTACTCCAGACCGAGAACGCCGAGTTCTTCCTTGCGTGTGGCGTACCTGCGTACTGTTGCATACCGGCCCCGACAAGCGGGCCGCCAAAAGGTGAGCTATCTCCGCCGGGCGCAAGTACCGCGGGCCGCTCCGACCTGGGACTACCCTCCCTTGAGCTGACTCCACTGCCCTGCGATCCACCCCATTTCTTGGACCTCAACTTCATGAGCGCCCCCAGGGTCATGGTGTCGTCCTCGGAGGACGACAGCAGCGCCAGCTGTGCGAGCCCGGGACTCGGCAGCCCTCCTGACGAGTTCCTGCCTCCACCCTCGGTGCCAAACGCCGGCGGCAGTGCCAGGCTCATGACCGAATTACGATTAGAGTACTCGGATCTTTCCGTGATCGGGGTCAGGTTCGGCTCGCGCAGCACCCTTCCGCTAGCCGAGCGAAGCAGGCCTTGTCCGGCGGGTCCGAAATACCCGCCATTCGCGTACTGAAATAGGTTTTCGGCGCTGAGAGGCACGTTTGCAGAAGAGCCGTTTGACGACGTCGAGTTGTCGCGGGCGTGTCCATGGTGAACTGAATGTGCTGGTTGCAGAGGAGCAGAGTAAAACCCGAATTCTTGACCGTACCAGCCGTCAGAGTCGTTCGCGAGGGCGCTAGCGTTCGCTTCGGCAATGATAGCTTCATCGTCAAAGTCGAAGTCATCGTATGATGGATCTTCGGCTTCGTAGTCATCCAGAGATACGTCGGGCTGGGAATATTTTAACGATTCCGACGAGTCCGTCGGCGATGTGATGGTGAGTTCCGCCGGTAACGGTGGTGATGAACTTCTTCGGAACTTCCCAGATGCGGCTGCTTTTTGTGCAGCTTCGGCGAGAGCGGCTTGATACGCAAGGTCTGGGTCACTGATAGTTGCGTTCTGCTGCTCCTCCGCTTGCGGTTCTTCAACAGAAAGAATGGCATCCGGCCCAACAATATCTTTGGTTGGTATATGCTGAAGACCAGCACTTAATGATGTAGGAGCTGTCGATTGGGACGCCCCTGATTGCGCCGATAGACGGGACGACGTTACCTCGTCCGAATCCCGTTTCGCAGGCTGTTGCTTTTGAGCAGCTCGCATGGCTTCGTGTGCGCGAGCAAAGGCGCCCGGTATTGGGCGACCATATTTGTCGGTATCAAGATTGTCGAATATGGACTCGTCGAAAACTGTGCCGTCATGCTCAAAGTCAAGTTCGTCTGCCAGGCCGTCATCAAAGTAAATGTCATCCGCGTTCGTCGTCCTCGGCACCGAAAGGTCTACAGAAGGCGGCTGGAAGTCGGGCTGGACAGGCATCTCGTCATGTGGACTTTCCTGACTGATGATCAATCCATGTATACCCAGGCCTGGGGCGTCACCTTCCTGCTTGGATGGAAATGTCATGTCGGGGAGATAAATAGGCGACGCAGTTGACGGCATATCAGGAGTAGTGTCCTTGGTCATGGCGAAGCCAATAACTTTGCCATTCGCATCCCGAGGCGTTGCAAGCATGCCGGGGGTATTTGGGCTCGCTAGCGATGACGATGGGTTTGAGCGCTGAAAGACGAAGCCTGCAAAGTTCTCTTGATCATTGTCGGGGTCCACTGCATCTTCAAAGCCATCCTTATCTTCCAAGGCGTCGTTAACAGGGTCCACTGAAACCTCAAAGCCGTCTTCCTCCTCCAAGTCCGCATTGACACCAGGAATTCTTTCCTCCAGGCCATCATCTTCCATCATGGCATCATAGTCAAAATCCTCGTCAAAGTCGTCGAACCTGGAGTCACGTGGGTGTGTAGACTCTTCTGCTTCTCCCGTCTTCTTCTCCTGCTCACGTTGGCGGTGCCGTTCCTCCAGCAGCTTCTCCTCGCTCGCGGAGCCCATCATGTCGAAACTGAACCTAGAAGAGGTGCTCTTCATATATTTCGGCACACTAGACATTACAGATCCCTTGGTTGAGGCTCTCGATAATGATAAGTTTTTGTTCCTTGGCGCCTTTGACGAGGATGTAGCATTTCGTACGATAGTCGTGTTCACTGAGAGAGCACGTGAAGTCATCGACGATGTGGGAGGTGAGTCCGGGGAAGAGTCTTTCTGGGGAACTGGCGGGGTCTGCTGGTCAGAGGATGGTTTCCGCACAGAGAACTGCTGTGCTTCTGGAGACGCCAGTTCCGGTTCGCGGGCAGTGCTGCCTTCCTGTGCGCGATCCACGACAATGCTCGGATTGAACCGGGTGGGCTGTTGCGGCTGATGGTCCGCGGCTTGTTCACCTACACATTGCGGCCGAGATGGGTCGGAAGTTGGGTAAGCTGACGTAGGTGAAGTCGCAGTACCGTCCATGGACGAATACATCCGGTTTGGTCTCGGAGCACTGAAATCATGAACTCTTGTGCCTCTAATGCGCGGGTCATAACTCGGTTGGACATCGGCGGCGACATCGGCGGCATTCTGCCCAGTTTTCCTCCTCATCAACAAACTTGTCACCGGATTTTTCAAGAACGGTCGGCTCCTCTTTGCCTTTTGTGTCTCGGGTCCCGAGGTTGTGGCTACCAGAGGCACAGGTTCACTGGTCATCCTGGCCCCGCCGGGACGCTTGCCGGGCGCCATCGTCGAACTCTGCTGAAGATCCGTGGGTGTCACAAACGAGAACGGCTGCCTTGCTTGTTTGTTTAGCGTTGGCACCGGTCCTGATGCGTAGCCGGTATTAATGGGTGGTGGAGGTGGTTTTGACCTCGAGATCAGGGTGACCGGGACCGTATTTGGCAGACTCCCTGCGGAGTCTGGCCGTTGCTGGAGCATATCTTGGGTGTCCCATCGACGATTTGGCAAGGCGGCCCCACCAACAAATGCCGCATTGCTGCCGTCGTAGGCAGATCGAGTGGAGGCCGTCGTTCGTGAATCTTGCGACATGGGCCGGGGGCTCTCGTGGGGCTCGAAGCTAAGCTCGGAATCGGCCGAAGTTACGCGTGCAATCGGGGGCAGCATCGGGGGTAACTGGACAGAATTGGACGACCTAGGCCGTATCTCTGGGCGCGGCGAGACATCCTGCGTCGTCTGGGGATGTTCGTGGAGAGCCGTGGCCTCCCATGTGCTCAACTGATCAGGAAGAGGCGAGGTGGGGTTCGACGTGTTGCGCCGATGGAAGCGAAGGTGTTGCAGCATCTCGACAAGGCTGCAGTTCGTCCTATTTCTTGTTTACGTCGTTGACTCAAGTCAGTCAGTCCCGGACTCGGGACACCCGGAGCAGGTAGCGGGGCGGAGTGGCATCGAGGAGTGGAATGTTGGTACGCGATCCGATGCCCTGACCCGGGCGACGGGGCGCGAATATGCAGGTTTCAACTTTCGAGAGAGTTCGGGAGGTTTCGGTTGCGACGACGCTGTTGCGATTGACTGTACGAGCTGGGAGACGTGGCTCCATGTAATTGTCGCGATGATTGGGAAACCGACAAATTGGATTTTTGAGGAAGTAACAAGACAGTGAATCACCAGTAAAACTTGCAAGGGATGTTATGATGATCAGCTTTTTGCACTTGAATTTGGAAGCTGACCACTGACAGGTCTGAACAGAGGCCCTTTCCGGCCTTCGCAAGACCCAAGACCGAAACAGGGACCCACCATCGTACTTCATGGTTCATGCCCGCTCGTATTCCGAGGGGTCGATATCTGCTGAGACTCAGCCGGTGCCAGTTGGCGACCAGTTTGGCGCCCCACAGTGTGACGTGAGACCAGCAAGCAATTCTCTGTGAACGACAATCCCGACTTCGGTTCGCTGCTCACACACAGCATCAATCGCAGCTCCAATATCACCATGTATCTACTTCCGTATAATGCAAAGTGATGCAACAATAATATGGACGCACTCCAGATTCAGACTTTTACTTGGTTTGAGACCAAGAACAAGCCGACTGCAACTAACTGATCACCGTTCCATGAATAGCACGCACCTGCGGGCCGGGCTTCAAGTTTTGCCCCATATTCGCACCACACGCCGCTACATGCGAGGTCCAACAGAGGTCGCAATGCGGAACTTAGCACGGTCAGACAAACTCGATTTTTCGGGGAGACACGGCTCGACAGATCCATGCTCCCGTGGAACTGGTATTGGGACAGGTACTCGAACGTGCTTCTAGAATTCATGCGTTGCTCCTTCTCACATCAGCAGTTCGGGGCAGCATCTGCAATTCTCAACTTGATCATCTGGGGTTCCAGCTTGGCTAAGGTCTCAACCCTTAATGTCCATGATACTTTGACTTCAGCTTCAACAAAGCTGTCACCGTGGAGAGTATCATTAACATGCAACGGTCGAAGACTCGACGTTGCCGAATTTAGCTCTTCCATCCCCGAGCAGACGTATCGATCTCCACAAAAACCAAACACAAATGCTACCCGGCGTGACGGCCGATCACGCGAAGCACGGGTCAATGCGGTTTCCACCCAACGAACCCTCCACAAAATGACAAGAAAAATACAATCTCACGTCTTATAATGGATCTGTTCAGAAGGAACCTCCATCAACTACTTCCTCCTGATCAAGTGGAGGAACTCAGTAGGGTACATGGTCTAGTGGTATGATTTTCGCTTCGCATAGTGCGTCATTGTGAAAGGTCCCCGGTTCAATCCCGGGTGTATCCATCCATCTTTTGCTGCTTGGTACATCACTATGAAAAAAGACTTTGAGGAGGGAAAGGTGATTTTTTCCTTACCTTTTTTTTTTTTTTTTTTTTTTTTTTTGCTTTATTTTCCTCCCGCCCGGACATGATGATTCTATTACGGCTCACAAACAAGAACGAAGGAAAACAGAAACGACTACAAAAAAGAAAAAAGAAAAGAAAAGATTTAAAAAATAAAGATCGGATTGCAATGCCCACAGCCAGAATCGAACTGACGACCTCATCATTGACCTAGAGATTGCTCTGCGAAGAGTCAGGTTACTAGTGATGCGCTCTACCACTGAGCCATGCGGGCCTTTGTTGTTGTTGTTTTGTGTGGATCACAATCACAAGTCATGAATGACCATCGTGGAGGTGCGAGTCATGGAGTCACGCGGAGTGAGGCTTGAAGCCGTTACGGAGCTGAGAAGCTTGTTTCCCAGACCGCAAACTAATGACGGAGACCCCGGGGACCCTGTCGTGGAGGTCCGATGCAATGATGCAGTCTTATTCCTTAGTCCGGGTTTCATGAACGACCTTGTACCGAGACTGAGTGACGAAAGATCCATTCAACGTCCTTGGCGGGTCTAACAGACCCCTGGCTCCCAACTTAAGTAATAAACAAACCATTTATCCGTCGACACCCAGAAGTCCGGTGGTCAACACTGTCGTGCTCTTGATCTCCTCGGCCCTTTCGACCAGCTCCTCCGCGTCCCAGTTGCTCCACACAAACTTGCCCTTCAGAAAACCCGCCTCCTGCGATGCAAGCCACACGTAAAACTGCCCCGGAAGATCAGCTGCCATGCAAACACACGCAAGATCCAGTCAGCAACAATTTACACAGAAGCAGCGGGATAGTTGGGGTCAAACATACCAGCATCAGTCGCCTCCGTCTGGTACCCGTTCGCCTCCGTAGCCACCCACCCAGGCTGGATACTCACAACCCTTAAACCGGGATTCTCCGCCTGCACGTAGTCCGTCAGCTTCAACACCGCAGCGCGGTTAAGCGAGTACAGCCCGAACCCGCCAGCAACGGCCGGCCAGTGCGCAAAACAGGTGTTTGTGCTGAGCAGGACCGCTTCGGGGGAAGCCAGCGGCAGGAACGCCTGGATCGCGTGCGCGGCCGTCATGACGAGCCCCCGGAAAGCAAACTCGAGCTGCTCGTCGGTCGCTTCACTGATAGTCGGAAAACTGTCGCTCATTACCGGCCCGGCGTTGGACACCATCACGTCGATGGTGCCGCCTACCTTGACGACGATGGAGCGCAGCGCGCGGGCGGTCTCGTCTCTCGAAAACAGGTCGGCTTGCTCGTAGAAGACTTGAGTAGCTGAAGAGGCCGCGACGGCGGAGATGGTCGCTGCTCCTGACTGGAGCCTGTCGAGGCGGCGGCCCAGGATGGATACCGATTTGGCGCCGGCTTGGGCGAAGGCCACAGCTATGGCGTTACCGATGCCCGTTCCGCCGCCCGTGACGACGACGTTGCGTCCCGCCGCTGACAGTTCTGGTCGAGTGGGCGAGATGAAGGGGTATGGTACGTTGTGCCATTTCTTGGTGAAGGGGATGATCTTTGGGAAGTTGGAGGCGTCTACTCCGGGCATCTTGCCGGGAGGTGAGAGATTGGCGAGGGTAAAGGTGTACTTTTTTTGGTTGTAAATAGAGTTGTGTGTTGATGTAATTAGGGGTTTGTATGACTTATAAGCACCTCTTTATATATCGCGACAATTGCACTTGGGAATAATGGAGTTCTTAAACTCCGCTCCGGTAGTTAAAGTTGTGCAGCTTCGGTTAGGTCGTGAAATGGTGCATTTGTCAGTTGAGGATCTATATCATAATGATCTGAAAACTGCTTGCTAAGGTTGAGATAAAAGTGTACGGTCAGTTGCTCAGGTCCGCGGCCCTGCTATATAAACATGTTGAGTTTCCAAGCCGGACCTAACGTAACTCTCAATGGTGTTGACGCTCGGCAGACAGCAGTCCACTATTTCACGATAAGAACAATTCTACCTATACTACAGCCTCATCTTCATGTCAGTGATTTAACTCGAGTCTTTTGTTATCATCAGCCCGAAATGTCATTTTTGTCGAGTGTTTCGTAACCTTGAATTCGTTCACGAGAACTGAATCTGATCGATGAGATTCGATGGGTCCTCTTCACTTGTAGTGCATGTGGATCACTCCGGGTTGGCACTGAAAGCCACGTACCGTGAATAAGACGATGACAAGATCCCTAATATTTCTGCTAATATGGCAGACTAACCCGCGACACCACAGCTCAAGATACCACCCGCAGCCATTTACATGCAGTTATTCTGCATTAGTCAGCCGTAGGATTTGGTCCGCGGACCTGCTTATCACAACTTCTATTCTCCAAATGTCATTGGCGCTCCAAGTCCTCGGACATGACCGACCATGCCGCTGCAACAGTTTTGCATCACAACATCCACCACCAAACACAAGACGTCCAGATCACGAAGAAAGCACAAACATGGTCCGCGGCCTTGAAAAGCGCAAAGCCTGCGATCTTTGTCATGTCAAGAAGATCAGATGTGACGCAAAGAAGCCCACGTGCTCCCACTGTGTCGTGTACGGTGCTCAGTGTGCGTACACGCCGCATATCAAGCGGAGACGGAAAGAGGTGAAGCTTGAAGTTCAAAACAGGTAGGTCATTACTCAGTCACTTCCACTTCTTGGAAGGGTAAGACTGACTGACACGACCGCCACAGCGTCTCGGCTGCGAATATCCATGATGTGCCAATCAACCCAGCCGGATCAGCACAACCAGTCCTCGGAGACAGGCCGTCGGCGCCTGGAAGTAGTGATACCAGAGAAACTTCAAACCTCCCACCACTGTTGGACCTTGTCCCCATCATCAATGACTACTTCAGTAACTTTAACATAATCTTTCCGCTCTTTGATCGGGATGCGTTCATGCAAAAGCTAGAGGAAGCCAGCGCCTCCAGCCGTCTTGAGGATCCAGCCACCATCACAGCGGTCAAAATAATCTTGGCACTCGCCGATCAACACCGCGTCTCAGCTCACCCCCCTATCCCTTCATTTGACCCGGCAGCGTTTATTTCAGATGCCCAACCCACCATTAACAACTTGGTCACAGGCCGGGACGGAGACGACCTCCTCGCTCTACAGAGTATGCTGGGACTGTTGATCCATTACCAGGGAACAATACACCATAGCACGCAATCGACAGTCAGTTCCAGGGCTCTTACTTTGGCCAGCGCCATCAAGTTGGTCCACCGGCTTGGTCTCCACCAGAGCAGAACCAATGCCCTCCTAGACGATGCCACCTCACTCCAGCGTACTCGCGTTTTCTGGATCGCATACATCCTGGACAGAGAGATTAGCATGCGTACACATGACCCTCCGCTTCAACAAGAAGGCGACCACGATACTAGGATCCCGATTTCAGCCCCTGGATTTGGCCTCGTCCACTTCACAACAGCCTCCGGTCTCTCAGTCGATTTCGATATCTTCCATGCTCGAATCGACCTCGCACATATCCAGGGCGCTATTTACAAGCGACTATATTCGGTTAGAGCCTCCTGCCAACTTCCCGCTGAGCGCCAGTCCAATGTGGTGGGCATCCACGGCATGCTGCGAGACTGGCTGGCGACCGTCCCGACAGAACTTCATCCCAACAACTTGGCCAGCGTAGTAGGTCCGCACTCCGCCGTGCGTCAGCTGGTTGCGATGTACTTCACGTACTCGGCGTGCTTCCAGGCTACTCATCAGGTGGGCTCACATGATGCAGAGTGGGTAACTCGGCTCGTGAAGTACAGTCAGTGCATCATTTCCTTGGACACGGAGACTGGAACTGGTTCCAGTATCAACAGGCACCTAAGTACTGCCGATGACCTGCTGTTGGAACCGTCGTTGAGCTGGGCCGCGATTGTGTCTGTGGCTCGGGACTGCGCGCGTTTGTTCAGGATGGTGCAAACAGATGACCTGGCCATGATATCGTAGGCTTGCTCCCCTGACGTTTTGATTGAAAGAGAACTAATATCAACTGACTGTCAGGATGACAACTTGCACCCTCTTCGCCGCTGTCTTCACATTGATAGCCAATATGCTAACAGTCTCGGAGCACGGTATGGACAGTGAAGACGACGAGAAACTCATCGCGGAAGCCTTGGCTACCTTTGGGCAGCTTACCGCTATTGAGTCGCCTTATTCGGCCACCAGCCGCAAAATGCATGCTGCCTGTGTCGAACTGAGCTGCCGAGCACGTGTAGCGCGGGCCAGATTCGTTCTGGGCCAGCCCGGGCTCAACACCATGAACAGACCGACATATGTGGCGTGGCTGGAGGAGCAGGCTCGGAGGAGTGCTGGTTATTCTGCGCTTGCACTTGTCGAGGGTTTCACGTCGGCCGAGGAGAAGCCTTTGGCTACGAGGATGTGGCGGGCGGGAGCTGATGGAAATTCTTAGGAGTGTGTATTTACGATGTCCTGGCCTTGTAAGTTGCGATGCGATACAGACGTCTTAGTCTCTTTCGTGGTTGGTATGGTCCCTCGGCATGGTTGGATTACTTAAAGATACCATAGCCTGTCATAAGTCCATTGCGTCCGAAATATTTCACTCAGCCAAAGCTCGAACCTGAGGGAGGGATCCATGCCTCCGCAATTTGTGTAGGTAGGTAGCTACCTCGAAGCAAGACCGCGGGATCGCGCCTTCCCAGACCTCTAGCTGGAAGGTGCGAGCCGACTTCAAGTGGATCTGCTGTAGTCTCGGTCCCGGTGACCGGTGGAGTTACAGGCGGTCAGCAACTCACGGCAGGAGCCATTGCTACCGCAGGTGTTTGAACATGACCAGTTCGGTGAGGATGTTCATGCACCATCCCTCCAGATCTTTACCATTTCACGCCGCTGTATTTTATACCTTACATACATCAACCTACAAGTCACAACCGACTGACTCAATTATCAAAGCACGAGACGATTCCTTTGGGTATGTTCGTACTATGAGCAACATCCAGGCAAATATGTTTGCAATGAAACCTGGAAGGCAGACGACGCATCTGCGTTTGCGACTTCCTTCCGTCCATGTTCGATGACATTTCACGTCAGACTCGCTCCGCCATGGGTTGCTCCTGTCTTTCCAAGTGCATATCACCTGGTCATGAGAACAAAGACCACGCGGCTTTCCGAGCTCCGAGACGTCCACTCGTCCCGATCTGGAACTTCCTCCTGACCGTCGAGGTTGCCCAACTCCAGTTACACCACGCCTCTCCACATTGTGCCAACTTGCCGTTGTCTTCGCCAATTACCATATAAGCATCTCCAAATTTGCAATTTCAAACCCGC